AGCCTGAAGTCAACTAAAGGTCTAATGATAACCATCAAAATGTCTGGCATTTGATATAAATAAATTATTTAATTATTTGTAAATGGGGGTGTGCGATAGACTTACCTCCACGTGGTGCACCCTGGGCAACATATACTCATACGGCAAAAAAGTCTATTAACCGGCAGTTGACTTCTCACTTCAAACTACCATGGCCTGACTGCTTGCCATATTCGACCCCTTTCACAGTACGCATCTTGCCTTATTCTCTACCTTTGTGTCTGTCTGCCTCTTTTGCATCTGTGAATCGCTATTCTGATCCCCACCCCTCGACTTTCTGCTACTTTGATGAACCTTCCTTCTGTGAAGCCCGAAGTCAGCTAAATGGCTAATGATAGCTATCATAACGCCTGCCATTTGAAATAAATAAATAAATAATTTGTAAATGCCGGGGGAGGGGTGGAGTGGGGGATGTTACGAATTTCCGATATTGAAAGTCAGAAGTTAAATACAGGCAATCGAACTCAGAGGAGAAGAAAAATGTAATGCTTATTAAATTTAACACTTTAAGCATTGTTAAAGGCGAGATTTTGTCATTTGCGTAGAACCATATCAAAATAATGACGGTTTTTATAATGACATGTTTCCGTCGTTCATTCCAAGACGGCCACCTTATTTTAGATTAAGGTGTGAGTTGACGCGGAACAAAGCGCACGGGTGGGCCTAGTTCAGCTTTGTTGGCTAATAGCGTCTGTGAGGTAGGTTCTCATTAATAATTTTGTTATATCTGTGTTAGGGGGGGTGTGCGTGATAGACTTACCTCCACGTGGTACAGCCTGGGCAACGTATATTCATGCGGCAAAAGTCTATAAAACGGCTGTTGACTTCTGACTTCAAATCACCATGACCCCACTATGTCATATTCGACTACTTCCACAGTCCTCATCTCACCTTTTCTCTACCTTTGTGTCTGTCTATCTCCTTTACATCTGTGAATCACTCTTTTGCTCCCACTCTCTGTGAATCCCGAAGTCAATTGAATGGCTAATGATAACTATCAAAACGCATGCCACTTGAAACAAATAAATATCTGTGTCGGTTGGTCTGATTGTTCCAAATTAGTCTGTAATATTCGTCTTACCTTATCGCTTCTTTCATGATTGGCCTTTCCATGTTCGGTCGTTCACTCTACCAAGCATCAACCTTGTCTTACCTTCAATTCTCTAAATATAAATTGGTAGATCTGGGGAGGGGGGGTAGTTGTGTTTGGTACAATGAAGGGGGTTTGCGTTTAATCGCCAATATATAAGGGTTGGGTTGCTATCTAAATTCATTAAGTTACAGCAACCCATTCTAAGTGAACTCTGTCGGACTTTCACTTAAATTTTAAAAACGAAATCCAATAATACTTCAAGAGATTTAGTGATTCCATTATTTGATAATAGAATTAAACTGAATTTAATAGAGAAATAGCTGGAAAATTTTCTGCTGATGAAAACTTACTCATTCTATTTTTCAGCCTTAATTCAAATAATAATAACAATAGTCAAAATTAACTTTTAAACTCGTATTTGAAATAATAATAATTGATCTTTTGGAGAACGTGGTGAGCTCAACTGTAACATGGCGGAACCAAGATATCTCCGGCGGGTTTTGAACATTCTGGAATGGACGGCGTGCTATTGATCGCGTTAGGAAGCATGTGCGGTCGCGAGCACATTTAGTTCTCAACCAACCACTAATTAATTATCGCATCTTGATACCTCACCCCTATTAATGACTAAGCTTTGTGGCCACGCCACATCACTAGATTGAATCGGTACGTTCTGTCTCTCTCCTCGATATTGTGGGACACGTTATCGCTGTGTGCGTCATCGTATACCCGCATGTCTGCTCGCCAGGATTGGGAGGTGCGGCCGTACAACTCTGTGTGCAGCCACCGTGCAGTGACCAATCATCAACTTCTGTTTAACCAAATCCCCCATCCTGATCACGAGTAGCTCCATGCGTGTACACTTGATCCGTGCTACACGTCTGTTTCCTTTATAGCTGGGCAATAGCTTAGCTGGTTCTGGGAGTCTAGCGAGATGTTGGAGAATCTGCCACTGAGATTTCTGAGTCAGTCAGGCGTTACTATCGTAGCAATCCGCTACAATATAAATGCGGTAGCTTAACTAGTTGCGAGAGCCATTCCAAACTGGTGGATTCGGCAACAGAGATTGCTGAGGTTTAGAAAACTCTATGAGCTGCTGAGAGGGAGTAATAATACAGTGGTCCTCCAATGGATTCCTGGTCACTGTGGCATTAAAGGCAATGGGCTTGCTGACACACTTGCCAAGAAGGGGACAACGATTTTGCAATGCATGGACCGGCCGATGTCTTTCCACACAATGAAGGCCTTTATCAGAAGTAAATTCCATACCTCAAGGTACAACGAAATTAAAGCTCGAACAAAGGAGAAACAGTGGACAGTGGCACTCTCTGATATAGCCGACTGGCCAAGAATCGAAGCCTTTGCTGAGTTTAGACTACGTTCCGGACACGATTGCATGGCCAAACACCTTCACAGATTGGGAGTATACACTCAACCCACATGCCCTCTATGTAACCTACAGGAGGAAATGGAGAAGACCCATCTGATTCGATGTCCAGCTCTAAAGACAACGACGGAAAGCCAGAGATACTGGGAAGCAAGATGATGGCTAATGAACTGCTATTAATTAACTGCTGTAAATGTATTCCCACCCTTGGTGGAAGCTGAAGTCAAAGTTTAAGGGCTAATGATAAATATCACAAAGCCTGCCATTTGAAATAAATTAATTTGTGCAGTTTTCGCCTCAAAAACCAGAAAAAAACAGGTTTTCCTTATTTAAATTTGAACTTAATATGCATATTCGCATGCAGTTTATTAAATCAACTGAATCCCCCTTTATTGCAATTAAGCTTTTGGAAAAGTCAATAAACAAATTCTTTTAATTATTTCATAGATTAGATAAGAACCCGAGTCTACTTTGATGTTATATTTAGTCATAAAACTAAATTATACACCCCCAATTCCCACTTCACTTGGAGTCCAGTATTGCAGAAATAAATTTATTTACAAATACGTCTTATATAATCTGAAAGACATGTTTCTGTGGTAATAGAGAGAGAGCGATTAATGTTCGTTTGGGGATTCGAAGTCTCCGATTGGAGTACCACCGGAAATGGATGAATTTTGACTTGTCGTTGTCTCCACGTTTTCACTTCCTCTATTCAATGATCGGCGTCGAAAGTTCGCTCGTGCATTTTGAAACCAAACCTGTAAACGAGTTGAAGTGTGTCCGTTTAATGAAAAGCTCGACTGTAAATCCAAGGCCTTTGCTACATACTTTATTGCGCCCTTCTGAACACTGTGGTGCTCGAAATAGCCCACTCAGAGAATTTCTCTGAAAAGTACTGAGCCCAAACTTCCACACCGAAGACATCGCTATGAAAATATTCCTACTTTTTTGACTAAAACAAGCTACTCCATCTTATCTTGATCGAATTGTTTGCAACATTCATTTCCCTTTTTAAATAAAGAAAATACCCCCCTGCCCCCAGCATTACGAGCCATAGGTCCGCGGTACTTTTGCACTATCGACGTGATCCAACTTCAACGGACTTAGCCTTCAACAACGGTTTTAACTTCATAATTCGAGACCTCTCGAGTAGAAAACAAAAAGATATGGGAAGCATAACGCCGTAAATTTGTACCAGGGACAGATTATCTTCAAGTAGATTTTGAGTAGAAAGTGTGTAAAACACTACTCTTATACTTAAGTAGATCTTCGAGTCTATCTCCAAAATTATCACTTTAAAGTTCGGAGTGGTTTATATCTGAGTGAGTAAAAAATAGTTTTATTACCTGAAGAATACGCGCTCTTAGACCAGTTTTTTCGGCCATTTGGAGGAGTTCATTTTTGTCAGGATTTTGATTGATTCGGAAGTAATCCTTCATTATTTCTAATTGGGCTTGTTTAAATGAGGTTCGGTGCCGTTTCCGTGGAATTTCTGAACTGGCCGATGTTCCACTTGCTGACCGATTTTGTTCTCGTCTGTTTTCGTGCTCTGATAGAAAATCAAGTAAAATGTTCGTAAAACTTTGTAAAAGAAAAAAATAATTTTAAGCTGATTACCTGTTTGCTAAATGAGTTTCTATAAATTTGATCAATTTTTTTAGTCTCTTGAGACAGTGAGAAATGGCAGTGAATTGTTCTGTCTGAATTGAGTAACGGGTGCATAAATTTCGCCCCCCATGGACCAAATCTCCCCACCTTCAAACTATGCATCCAGTACTTCTAAACCCCAGTGCCAGTAGTGTAATAAATAGCAACCGAACGTACCTCTATTTGAATTTGGCACATTGATCGAATTTGAGGAAGTTGCGGCTGACGAAAAATCCAAAGACGGACTATCGGATAGTCTTCTTTTTTGCGGTTTCTGATGGCAACCTAGGCAGAGTACTGTCTTTTGCAAGCAGAAGAATCCCTCACCTTTCTGAATTTCTCGTCTGCACTGATGACATCGAAGACACTCACAATGAAATGTCCGACCGTCTTGGAAGATATGTACCCTATCCACCTTTCTAAAACGTCTTTCACAACTGAGGCACTCGGTGCGTCTGTAATATACGAACAAAAAACCCAATTTTTATCAAAACTAAACGTGCAAATTATTCTTTAAAAATAATAATTCAATTTCTGAATATGGCGGATTTAATTTTATTGAGAATACGTTGAAAGCACTCCATTACTATCAATATTTAAAGCGGGGGTGTGCGATAGACTTACCTCCACGTGGCGCACCCTGGGCAACGTATACTCATACGGCAAAAAAGTCTATTTATCGGCAGTTGACTTCTGACTTCAAACAACCATCACCCCACTGCATGTCATATTCGACTACTTTCACAGTACTCACCTTACCTTTTCCCTGCCATTGTGTCTGTCTGTCTCTTTTACATCTATGAATCATTATTCTGTCCCTCTCTCGACTTTTGTAACTTTGACGTTCCTCCTCATCTCTGTGAAGCCTGAAGTCAGCTAAAGGGCTAATGATAACTATCAAAACGCCTGCCATTTGTTATAAATAAGTAAATATTTAAAGCGACTTTAGGTGAACTTATTCATCAACAAAAACCAGCAACTTAATAATTAGTCACATTTAGCATCATAAATTTAAAAAAAACTTGTGAAATCTAATGTTAATCTCTTAAAAACTGATTTCATCAGCAAAAAATGTAATTAAAAGGAACAAAAATTAATTTCTTTGCCCTAATCAAATAGCTGATTTTACTGTATTACTGTAATAAATTTTTTTTTAATTTTTAGCCTTATTAGATAGCATTGCAAGTAATTGATTATTTCGCAAAGATTAGGTCCAGTTGATTTAAACAAAGGCACTTTCATTGAAGCGAAACAAGTCAGGGGAGTTATCGCGAGCGTTTAAAATATCGACTGGAAATCAATATTTACTTCTTAAACAGGACCACAGGATTTAGACCTCGTGTCTTTAAAACTTTCAAAATTATTTATAAATTATGAAGATTAAGGAATTAAGGTATAGTTCAATCGTTAGTTCATCTGTCGTGTTCTAATGAATGCACTCGTCTCGACGTTGGGCAATTCGAGTTTCACTCCTTAATGTGCCTAAGCAGTTTTGTATTCCCCCTCACTTGGCATGTAGCCGAGGCTTATCGAATTCACATGAAGTAAAAAGACATACCGACGATAATCCTCCCTACATATCAGACGACCTTCGTAGGAAAAACAGGAGGATTGCCACTGGAGATCACAGTTACAAATGGCGCATCGCAAGCAGGAGAGATGCCAAGTTTGTCCGTCAACAGCCAGATAATACTTCTCCATAATAGGCCTAACGCACTCAGCGCATATACCCAGGATGCGATTCTCTGATCTCTGATCGCTATTGCCCCGGATACTAAACCCAGGACCAGTTATCTGAAATTACAAAAAAGGGGACCATTTATCGTGTTAAAAGGAGAGAAAGTATGCAGTCAAGACTAAGACCTTATCTGCGTGGCCTAATTTGTCAATATGATCCTTATTTGACCTGATAATAAAATGAAGATTGGAATAGAGTTTCCGTCTAAACGAAAGTTTTTGATACCGGAACAGCTCTGAAAATGAGCTGTTTCTCCTTCTACTCATTCGAGCAAAGATAGTCGAACTTTTGTCACAATCTGCTTATCGATTTTACCACTTTCCACTTCCCCCCTCCTCTCAATTCGTCCACCATATGACTCATCCATCGATTTTTTGTCACACGTAATTGACATATTAAAGCGTATTCATCTGTTAAACATAAATTGAGTAATTGAATTAACATGCGGAAATTTGGTCATGAGATCACTTTGAATGAACATACTCATTCAAAACTGTTTTGTAAAAAAGAACGAATAAATTTGCACTATTTTGCTTGATTTGACTTCAAAAAGTCTAGGCGATAACCCCAACTTTCACTTTAGAGTGAAAAATTGTACCCTCTAAATATTTTGAAACTTCACTTCTAATAATAATGTAAAATCATGAAATTTCCCTTTTAGACAAAGTATGCACACCCATTCGCCACACTGTTTAAAAAAATTTACATTTCAGTAATTGCTTTACCGAAATCAAAATGTAGCGAAATTCCGTTAAGTTTCAAATTTCTCTACTTATTTTGTAAAAACCGGTAAAATTGAAACCCCAATATGTCTGAATTTGATTAAAGCTCAAACTGTACCTGGTTCGAACATAATTGATTATCGTGATTGCATTGGTTTTGATTCTAAAAAATGAAAAATTCAGTTTGATTGAATGAATAAAAGAAAGCGTAATTTTATAAATCAAGTTTCAGAAATTTAATTTTAATTATAAATAAATCTTTCAAATAGGCAGATTATAAACAGATTAATTTACACCTTTCTAATTATATTCATTACATAATTCCAATATTAAAAAAATGACTTTGACATTTGGCATATTATTTTACTTGATCTACCGAATCTCTGCATAATTTTTACGATCACACGACCATACAAATTAACCAAACAGTCAAGAAGCCCCAGTTTTTGTGGTCTCGAATTCATTCGACATTTTAGAGGTGGTCGAATTTTGAGTCATACGAATGAAATGCCAATTTCAGAAATCAATTGAAATGATAGCATTTTGAAGAAATTCTTAACTTCAATTCGATTTCTCAAACCTGGAGTGTGCGTTAGACTTACCTCCACGTGGTGCACTCTGGGCAACGTATACTCATACGGCAAGAAAGTCCATTAGCCGGCAATTGACTTCTCACTTCAAACTGCCATGACCCCAATGTATGTCATATTCGACCCCTTCCACAGTACTCACCTTGCCCTTTTCTCCACATTTATGTCTGTCTCCTTTACATCTATGATTAACTCTTCTGTTCCCCCTCTCCACTTTTTTTGACTTTGATGTTCTTCAACTCTGTGAAGCCCGAAGCCAGCTAAAAGGTTGATGGTAACTATCAAAAAGCCTGCCGCATATATTTTGAAAAAAATAAACATAAATGTTCCCGTAATCATTAGCCTCGTTTTATAGAAGGTTTAGCGAATAAATGTGAGAAATAGGCAACCACTTCAAAAGGCAATGAGAGTCTCGCAAAATGACATAAGCTAATACCGAATCAATTTTCATTCAATAATAATAAAAAAATAGAATAAAACATAATCCTGTATTCTATTTAGGTTGATCTGGCCCATTTGAGGTATATCATTGGTTGCAATAGAATGAAAATTAGAAATTAATCGAGTTGCCACGTTATCAGATAAACCAGTCAATAAACATTCATTAGTGTCAAGATGGCACAATCTAATGATCAGGAAGTCAAACGATGAAGCGTGAAGGTAGAACACTGCAAGTTTGGCGCTTTCACTTTTGGAAATATGGTGTCCAGGAGTCGAGAACAAAGTTATTCTCATTCCATATATTATACGTTTAGTTCGCTGATTGCCTCAATCAAATTACCAAAAGTAATTCGAAGTACCACGAGAAACAGATGATGACAAAGCCATTCGACTAACTACTCTGTAACCATAAAAAAATTGGAGGAACTTCACCAACCCATCTATCCATTTTACACTGCCCCCCCCCCCCCCCAAGCAGTCAACTTTGAACTGGATAAAAATGAATAAGAAAATATGGAAATTATTGTGAAATTGTACAAACTAAAAACACTTGAGAATTTCAATTTTTTTTAGGATTAGAGGGACGTTAATTGTGAGAAAATCTTTGTTTCAAGACAAAATCCACTCACCTTATTTATGTGACGGAATGTTTTCCATAACTCTAACTCATTCCTACTTTGAATGGTGAATTAAAAAGAGGGGAGTGGAATGAGTATCTAACGGGAAAGTTGAGCTGTACATTCAACTAGCAGAAAATTTGGAACACTTGGATGATGACTCTCAATGATTATAGCACAAACTGCTGTCAAAAAACCTGGAGTTCAATGATCATCCAATATGGACAATTAAATCAATTTTCGGCATCAAAATCTCACATTATTGGCTGTAAATATAAGTGGGGTGTTTCAACTTCAGGCCACGTGGTAAGAGCAAACTTGATTCACAGTGGGGCTCCGGCCAAAGATGGGGTCAAAGAGGGGAGACGAAGAAACGGTTCAGCGGGGGGGGGGGGGGAGCAGGTTCCGGTTTTCCACTGGTTCCACACAGTTTTATCCAAGAGGACATCCCGCTGAGTGAATGTTTATCTAACTCTCTCCTCCTCCTCCTCCTGCTCCTCCACCCCTCCCCCTCCCCATTCCTTGTCAAAGTCAAATATTGCAAAACAGATGGCCATTGACAATAAAACGGGCCGAAAATGTTGTTAACAGTGAGACTGCACTTCACCGCAATTCTAATTATTGCAAGATATTTTTGGACTAACAATTGTGTAAGAATCCAGCAAAGCATTTCGTACTAAACCAATGGTGAATGATGTAATAGAATTTCAGTTGTTGAAAATCTACAGAATTTTACCTGACTTTAGTTTTAGTAATCGCGGGGTGTGCGATAGACTTACCTCCACGTGGTGCACCCTGGACAACGTATACTCATACGGAAAAAGTCTATTAATCGGCAGTTGTCTTCTAACTTCAAACTACCATCACACCACTGTATGTCATATTCCACCACTTGCACGTACTCACCTCATCTTTTTCACTCTACCTTTGTGTCTGTCTCTTTTACATCTTTGAAACACTCTTCTGTTCCCCACCCCTCGACTTTTTGTGACTTGGATGCTCCTCCCCTCTTTGAGGCCCAAAGTCAGCTAAAGGGCCAATGACAACTGTCAAAATGCCTGCCATTTGATATAAATAAATAAATAAAGTTTTAGTAATCACAGAACGGAAATCAATGAAATAAGCCGACAGTGCGCATTCGGCTTCATGGATTCTAATAATATGAGTACTATGAGGTGACTATGAAGACATGCTTTAATTGGGAAGAAACCATGTATCTGCCAAGTCATGTGAATGATCGTTAAATTAAAGAAAAAGGTAATTACGTAATTAAATTAAAAATTTTGAAAACAGACAGAACCATTTATTTAATTAATTTAAATTAATAGAACAATAGTGAGAAGATCAAGTGATAGTAAATTGTTTAATTTATGGCACAATATGATAACGGCTATGATTTTGCCACCAGAAAAAATATTTTTAGGCAAAGATGAAATGCAGTCGGTTGCATGTAGTGTTATGAATATGGCTAATCCCCTTCCACTCGCACTCCTCATTATGTCAGAGAATTAAAAGAAGCTAAACCCTAACCCCATGGCAAACATGAATAAATCGCAGCAATTATTAACTTACGCGTGTCGAGGAAACTTGGTGAGTGCAATCTTCCATTGAGAGAAATCCTTCATCTGGACTATTCAAAATATCCATAATATTATCGCTCAACAAATTCATCACTACTCTGAATGGAATTTGGACAGCGAAATGCCCATTAAATACACCCGATAACGACATATATTGCAAATCGGTGAGAAAGCACCAATGGCAACACAGAGCGCTATCTGCCCGGTAATTCCTGATTGGTTAGCCAGTGAGGGGAGTGGACACTGGTCAATTGCTGCCACACGTTTAAATGAAGCATCTAGTCTATTTTCCTCCCAAATTTCACGTGATTTGGATTTTCACGTAAAATAATTTATTTGTAAATATACACAAACATTTTTGTTTTCTAAAATCGTGTTAATTAAAAGTCAGCTCTTTTATCATGAATACGCTTTTGCAAAATAATTACAAAATAAAAGAAATGGTTTCCCATAACTTGGTTATTATTAAGAATATAAATAAATATTAACATTTCATCTGTGCCCCAGAGCATTTTGTATTGTTTCCTTCTGTTGAGCTTCTTTGCGCTCTAATGACTGTAACTCCATCTTGAGCCTACAAGATAAAGGAATCATTTTTATTTATATAAATTTTTTAGACTAGACACCACGCACTACTTTACAGTTGGATTTGGTTCCCCTTTTAAACATCTTAACCCTCCCTTCTCCTCATGGTACAACAAGGTCTTGGCTCACTCGTATCAACAAATAATTGGATTAAAACAACAGATATCAATAAAATGAATTGAGATATATTAAATGTTACGCGATTCATACGAATGGGAATCTCTTAAACCGAGCGCATATTCAATATGATTGGCTAAATTAAACGAAAGCCCCCCCCCCACCTCAAGGCTAATTCCACGGTACAACAATTGTCACTCAAACTTCAAAGCCATTTGTTGAGTTTTACCATCTATAAAATAAATAAATATATGTATTTATTTAATCTCTATGTCAAGTCAAACGAGCTTCTCAAATTATCACCACGAAGAAACTTCCAAGCACATTCTTAGACAATGGAGGTACGCTTGCATTCGACGAATGTAATGTTAGAGTAGTCTGTGGAAGTGGGAGAGACAAAAAATTTAGTCGATCGCTATTTCACTTATCATCGAACAGTTTCGTTTCAAATAGTCATTGGGACGTCCATCTACTAAGAAAGAAGTCTGCGGGCTCGCCTGTCATCTTCGAATCTGTGGTACTTCCTTACATCTCTATCATGTGCAAAACAAATGATCCCACCCTTCGAATTTGGTTGATCTTCGATAATGCAGAGAATTGAATACCCACTCAACATCTGTTTTAAATTATATTAATGAAAAGGGGATGTGCAATAGACTTACCTCCACGTGGTGCACCCTGGACAACGTATACTAATACGGCAAAAAGTCTATTAATCGACAGTTGACTTCTCATTTCAAACTACCATCACTCCACTGTATGTGGTCATATTCGACTACTTTCACAGTACTCACCTCACCTTATCTCTACTTTTGTGTCTGTCTGTCTGTCTGTCTCTCTTACATCTGTGAATCACTCTTCTGTCCCCCC